ACTTAAATCCTGAGGTCCTTGCTTCCCTAAGATATAATTCATTCCCAATTCCTCCTTGACCCCGTGACTTTTGCACAACTATATTTAAAATCATTTGTAGCTCTGAATTCGATAACTGACATCGAGCAGTCGTTGCTAGCACCTGCTGGGACTTCTTCTTTTGACTCTTCAGGCAGTCCACAGCAGCGAACCGATAACGCTCATGGCGAATAGATGTCTTTTGTACCTTTCCTTGTAATAAAAATCAAATGCAGTGAAAACTTTGCTATCAAAATCAACTGCTGAAGAGGTTATTGTCACGGAGGCTCGCCTTTGTTTTAAATACAAACATGCGTCTGGGAGGGTTCCGGAGGCACAAGAAACGCTGGGATTTGAAAGAGGAAAGGGTAACAGGAAGATGTGCATCCAATAATTAAAGTTGCAAATATCATGCAAATTTATTGCTGAAGATGGGACGAAAATGCGGGTTAAATACGCGGAGCTAATGTCACAAACAGGAACATGGAAAATGAATAAACATTTTCTCAAGTGTGGGTGGATGTTTATGTGGTCCACGGTTGGAGCGACGCTTCTCAATTTTGGCAAGCTGATAGAAAGGGTAACCGAAATGGGCCCGAGACATCTCTGTTCTTTTGCTCCTTCCTAGAAGTCGGTGCTGATGTTAACGAACAGAAAGAAGAACTGGAACGTGCAGCTTGGGCATCACGGATTTGGCTTTGAACCACAGACAGACAACGAGACAACCAGAAACAAGCAAAAAAAACCTGTGCGAATGCAATGTTTGAATTTGCTCGGAATAAATGGGTAATGATGTAGGGGATAGAGCTGCGTGCTCTAAATCCACCCTCTGTTGTCCTAAATTGCTTTTGTTTTCCCAGCCAGTAAAGGTAGAGCCAGCCTTTTATCCATTATCACCAATCAATCAATCAGGGAAGAAATTCTCAACACGCGATTTGAAAATGTGTTCATGAACGAAAACTTAACATTTTTAATAGAAAAAATACAAACAGAGACAAAATTTCTGTGGGAGCTTGGCACCAAAACTATTCAGTATAATGGAAAGCGCAGCTTCCTCGACAGGAATCAATAGATTAAGAAACAATGAAACTGGCAGTGTGCTTCCTACAGTAAATGCGGCCAATAATATGACTGCAGACTTGTCCAATTTTTTGACAAAATCTATCTCCAGATCTTGACTGTATTTTGACAATCGGAGCTTCACTACTTATATATGTCTCACAATGATCATCGATATTGTACAAGATAGATTCATAGATATCCAATGTTTATAAGATTCGATATTCTATGCGTTCATGGACATTCTCGGTCTATATATGCACTCATAAATCGAGTCCATAATTAATTTGTGGACCCTCAAATAGATTTTATGCAGTCTTCAGGGAATGTGGATGTGATGCTATTTGAATGAGGTTTATTCCTGAACATGAAACGCCTTTCAGTGCAAAGGAATAAACGCTAGGGGTGGAGGAGGGGGGGGGGGGGGGGGGGTGGTGGTTGAGAAAATATATTTAGTAAATTGGTCAACCCTGTTTATTTTTTAAATGTTCAAAATATGTGCTCGCGATCTTTAATGATGCGCCGCATCCCTGATACTTATCATAACAATCATTCTTTTTGTTCCTCCCTTTTGTAAAAACGCCAGTATCCTCGGCATCCAGTTTGATGAAAATATCTTGCGGTGTTTTGGGGAAAGGGGGTAAGGCGCACAATTTCAGGTCGATCTTGTTAATTTCAGGTTGGAAATTGACACACTAATTAAACAGCACTAGACCACTCAAAGGCAGATTATTGGCCTTATCAGATCGACTATATTTTCCCAATTAAAATCGTAAGGCATTTCACTAGCCTCTGGATGAAAAATAGGGGACTTTACAACGGTGACCATCGTATTTTTACATCAGATTCATTGTGATGTATTAGATGCAATAAATTACCCGATGTAACAAAACATTGGGAGTTGAAAGGCTGATTATCTGCAGCACAGAGATAAGGCTGCATTATTCGAAATCATTATGAAACCGACGTTTGCGCTGACTTCTTTCTTAATCAGACATTCTTATCCTGGTTCCGTGAGCAGCACCGATAAGGAGCAAGTAATTTATAATTCGCCACCTTCACTAATATTTAAAAAGTCAAACCCAAGAACACCATAAAAAAGAAACCCCGAACGCAGCCCAGATGAAAAATTGTCGGTATTAACACAATTTAATTAAATTTTGCAGCCGCGGCGTCACGGATGGAGGAGGTGGGAGGTGGGGGATGGGGGGGGTGGGGGCGAGAAAATTGACTTTTTTTTAAGGATGTGGCTGTGACCATTTTAAGTGTGACTGGGTGCTGTTTGGAGAGACATTGACAACATATTAACATTTTCTTTTTCATAAATCAGATGCCCATGGTTTATTACATCATTGGCCATGATGTTAGATCAAGATAAAATATATGGAGGGTAAGATATCCGGGGGTGTCGTACCCTTATGGGGACTTTATCTCTCGTACTCTTCCCGTGCCTGTTAAAACCATTTTCTTTTTGTTGTTGCAAAATTGAGTGCTATTGAAGATGAATTGTTTAAATGAAACTATAAAGGCTTCTTTTTTAACGTCCACGGGGTGGTTGCAAACGATCATCAATCATAAAACTGCTGATATCGAAACGTTTCCAAACATTGCTAATTGTTTCCGCTTAGCAGACCTGGTCATTTTGTTATCGCTGGTTGTGTTTCATTGATTTAATAATAAAATTGTAAAGCAGCTCGTATGGACAACCTTGTTCTTAGTTTTGTCTGGTCTAAACAGTGGAACGATTATAATAGCAGAGTAGAATTCCATATTGAAGCAAATCTCATATGTAGTCACACGTTATAAGTGTGTAATCTTAATCCATCCAGTGCCAGACTCGTATACTTCGTTATTATGTCCCCCTACAATATGAATATGTACCAAACTGTGTGTCTGTGCTACAGAAGGCGAAATATGTTTCTGATTCCATTCTCGCTCTCTCGTGAGTCATGTAATGTCCACTGGAAACACCCAGAATGTTTATTTCTCAAAAAGCAGATAAAAAGCAAACAAGACTGACGGGTTAGTGGGCGGTTGTCACAATATAAAGGAGCAGTGCCTAGTGTATTGGATACACTGTCTAAAATCTTACCCATATTAATATATGTCAACTGGTACCAGTCAGATAGCCGAAATTGGATTTTTTTCACAAAAACGACATATTGTATTGGCAAAGTAAAATTCTTCACTGCCTCTGTCTCCGTTTGCAACCAAAGAAAGGGTTTTTTTTTCGCAGTTTCCTCACCCACACGTTCAAACACTGGTGCTGAACTGCATTCCCACTTGGTCTCCAGAGATAGCACTGATAGTTCTATCGATCGATTAAGAGAGAATGGGGCTGCGATAAATGGGAGACGCCTCAAACTCCTGCCAATTACATCCAGGTTCACGTAAATAAAATCATTTGTGAAAAAGTATTGCAGAAAATTAATATTCAGTCAAATCAACATACATTCAAACATTGTTGTTCGCCTTCCCACACTCCACTCCCCAAAAAATGTATATTTGTTCGACTTTTGGCATCTCACTGTGATTCTGTGAGATCAATCTGAAGTGGGCAATACGGCATATTATGATAAATAAAGATATTGTATATATGTTTTGTAGTTGCAAACAATAGAGTCGGGAGAATAGCGCCCGTGTAACGGTGCCCGTCATTCGACGCGTCATCTATTTTATACAGCATACATTAGGAGGAGGGAAACAGATATTCCCTTCATTGTAATGTATCCTGCAATAAACATAAAGTCCATTTCTTCCATGTCCTGACTTTCTCGGAATTATTCTTTTTTTTGTAGAGGGGGATAAAAGCTAATCTGTAACTCGCCCTTATTGTTTCCGAATGTTATCATGTCTTGTTAGTGACTTAATTATCTTGAATCTATTAGCTTGATTGAATTCGCTTGGCGAAGATAGAAATTGTGGCGATCAGTTTACAAGCAGATACAATGAATGATATTAAAGTCCCTTTCATCAGTCCAGTGAGGTTTTAGCCATCACACCTCCACCCCTCCCATATATACCAGCCTGTTATAAAGTAACTGCCACCATAAGCAAAGTGAGCCCATGTCTATTAGGGAGATAGCGGTGTGTGTGTGAGGGCCTAGCTATAACTAGGTGCAATATTTAATTCATCATTTTACTGACCGAGGGATGTGAGATCATGTCTCCCTCAAAATTCAGTTTTAATTTCGCGTGGGGAAAACAAAATGCTACTCTCACTGTAACAAAATCGTCACTTCTTTTTTTCTTTGCAAAGATACCATCAGTCAGCAACACTTTTGAAAGATTATCTTTTCATTAAAGACATCGATTCCAAGAAGTGTATTTAGGAACATTCCCCTGTCTGTTTGACGGATACCTCCAAGCAGTTTGTAAGCTTGAAGGTCTCTGCTTTCTCAAACATGGTCACACTCCCAGTGTCTGACCGTGACACGCTCCCTCCCAAAGTTTGGCGTGAATAGCCAGGTTAAATGATGCAAATACTAAGGACCGGCCCGTTTATTTCATTCACTCGTGTCTTCGTGTTTAAGGTAGAGAGAGAATTCTGCAGCAGAGAGGCAAGAGATGTCGAGATGACATTAAACAATCAAAAACAAGTGTGCATTTGGTGATAAGGTCGGTTCCGCTAATATAACCGGCAAGTCCTTTCGTTCCTCGACATTTTAAACCCCTCTTTCTGCTTTACGAGCATTGAAATAACAGCAAACAGCGTGAAATAATTTGCATTTGGAAGATACCAGGTCTTACTCACATCACAACCGCGTTTATAAAAGGACACCTTTGCTGTTTTCTTTTCCCTCTACACCACCCCCAACCCCGCACTACACCCCCCTCCCCCATTTGAAAATCATTTAAATGAGAAATTAATCGTATTTCGTGGATGGTCAGTCTTCGACTTGATCTGAGCTACCTTAACAACCCGGAAGAGAACTCGAGAGGCTGGCTTTACGGCTGAATGCAGAGTTTGGTCTGATTGAAATAGCGAGTCGGGCTATAATTGCACATTGCTCGTCTGTCTGTCACGGGGCGATAAGTTTTGGGAGAGAGATCAGGGGAAAAAAAAACACAGCGAGCTGCTAGCGCCAGACTCCACACAAGAGCTCAAGAGGTCAGTAAATATTTATATTTTCTCAACATCTTCCCCACGTGGAGTGAGGCCGACCCCCAGAGGCAGTCAAACGGAGGGGTGACATTAACGAACAGTTCGTTAAACTGAGAATAACATAATCGAGAATAAACGCGCTGACAACCGCTGAAATCGTACTGTATTCTGTTACCTTTACCGTCAATAGCCCCCCTTTACTGTATTGTATTTATTTCTGCGAATCCCGTTCAGAATTAAATTATCAATCCAAGGTCGGTTTCACAGTTTGATTCGGGAGTCAATTCAGGAAATCAATTACTTTGCAAACCAACCAAATGATGCAGTTTACACCTAAGTGGGTTTGGTTGGAATTAAGACACCGGTGCTCAAAGCTAACGGTGAAAATACATTGAGTGCAATTCATCTGGGACAACACGGCATTCAGACCTGGGCATTATGTGAGGTTATTTTTCCCGAAAAAAAAGCAGCGTTTGAGTAACTATGTGCGTGAGATGAAACTCATCTGAATGAATTTCCAATTCTGACCTTCGAATTAAGTCTCGTCAGAACTTCATTTGAGTCCAACAATGAAGAAACTGATCTCATCAATAGCCATTGTCCGACGGCAAGGCGCATTACAGTGGATGAAAATAGCCTGCATTTATTCGTATTTACTACCAACCATTAGAAGTAGCGATTGGGACACTCTGGACATTGTTCTCATTATCAACTAACTGTCATATAGTGCATGCGTCTGAGAAAGCGGGGTAACTGCTGTGGGTTGGGGGGGGGGGGTAGCTGGGAGAGGGGGAGACCACATTCTCCTCTTCTGGAAGGGACCACGGTTAAAGAACATCGAGGGGTGAGATAAACAAAGTTATAGATAACAAACAAAAAATGCACTGTTAGAACCGCACGGGGTAAGAAACAGCTTAATTAGCTTGGGCTTTAACCTAAAAGATGCAAGAAAACGCTCAGAAAGCGATGACTGTCACCGTGCCGGTGTTATTTAACACGCTAGTCATTCATTTTAGCTCCATTTCGAAAATATCCTCAGATTAGAACCTCGGCAAATTGTGTTTTTTTTGTGGATGATGAATATTAGATTCTGTTTCACCGTAATGGTGTCCCACGGCGGAATTTATGAACCGGAATTAAATCTAATTTTGGGAGGGGTGTCGGCAAATAGGCAGGTAAATTGCGCTGTTTATCGCCAGGCATACTCTCAGCAATGGTAAAACCCACTGCGGTTTTGTTCAGGAACCTTCCTGCTGTTTGGCAATGAGACATTTTATGTAAAATGTTCCTAATGGAGCTGTATGATTAGGAGCTGCTCTGGACTGGGCCAGTGTACTGAGCAACACTGTGAGACCCTGATGGAGCAAGAGAAACAGAAGGTTGAGGGTCACTCTGCAAGGTCGTCATCTTACAGCCGCAGTGTCTCCTTGCAAACAAAAATATACTGATCAATTTCATGTTCATTTCACTCTTTCAGAAAAGCGTCTCTACCTCCTCTTGGCAGACTGGCCAACGGGAACATCAGTAAGTGGACTTTACATTCATGTATCTGATTATATATCTGCTCATTTATATGACTTGTCTATAATCCACATATGTGTGCATTTATGGATGGATTTTGGATTCCTCAGAGTAAATGTATATAAACATATGTGCGGAGACACATATATGTGTATATACGTATGTGGAACTTTTGAAATATCATTCCTGAGGATAAAATAACATATAGGGGCATATAGATTTGCATTTCTATCCGGGATTTCAATTTGTCATTATTTAGGATAATCGTGGTTTATCGATTGTAGCAAAACGTTGCATATTTATCTGGTTACTTTGGAGAACAAGAAGCCATAAACGGTTAGTCCACAGCTCCTGTCCCTCTCTGCAGTCTCACACACTGCAATCTCCTCACTCCCACTTTCGACTCATCCTTTTATCTCTCTCTGTCGCCGCTGGAAGAACCTTTCTTTTGACATTACAGAAGTGACACTTTTTTTGTGTGTATGATGCTGTTTGTGAAACTGCAAACTTACTGTGGCATATAGATCAAAATAAGGAGGAAATGAATGAGCACAGACACGCACAAAGTTCTTCCTTTGAAATCTACCCCAGAATAGATTTGCAATCAGTTCGCCATGCGCGCCGTGTTGCTGATTTGACCCGCAATAAAAACGTTCATCTTTTAAATGCGTAAGTGTTTCTGGTTAATGTTTTTTTTTAAATTGGAATGTTGAAGTGTTAAAGCTAAATGACTGTCTTAGGGAAAAAAAGCAAAGAACCGCGTGAATAGATTCCGGAGTCCCAGTGCATCCGGATAGAATCTGAAAAAAGACCGAGATAGATACAGCATTAAAATAAAAACACTGAAATTGCTGGCAAAACTCGGCATCTACAGATGCTGCCAGACCTGCTGAGTTTCTTCAGCAATTTTTGGTTTTGTTTCAGATCTCCAGCATTCGCAGTTCTTTGTTTTATTTTCGCACCAGCTCATTCACCAGCTAAACTTTGCGATAAACCATGTAATGTCTGCTGAATAATATGGCCGGTATTTCTCCCTTGCCATCCCGTCGAACTTATAATATTGAGGATAAATAAGAACGAAGGGAGCCGGAGACAGAGAGGGATGTTCCAATTCTAACTATCGGCGCTTTCATTCCCTAATCTGCTACATTAAACATACACCATGTCACCTGTGAGAGGCGATAGGTCCTTCCGAATACTCAAGGGGGAGAACACTGGAGTTCAGAATCGACTGTCGGAGTTATCTCCGTGCAGTCATTGGCCGCTATCTCAGTATATGCCAGGTCGAGTCTTCTACCTGACAAAGCCAGAGATATGTCAATAGCTCCGACCAGCTCTCCTCCATCCCTCATTCTGTCACAAGGAAACACAATGACTGGCTGCCCTATGACAGTAAACCGGACAAGTTAAAACAAAACATAAGCTAAAATACATATTGAGTCTTTTAGGGAGGCCGAGAGACAATGCTGGGACACGCTATTATTGCCACATGTTGGAACTTACCATGAAGTATTTATTTTTTCTAGAATGCTTGCCTTTCAATTGTACACTGTACAATTTGGCCACAGGCAGTCACTAGAACAATTCTATTGCCCTTTTAGACAATATTGGGAAGAAGGAGCTGACACCTTCTCGCTCCGTTCTCGCGCAGAATGTAATTCTGCTTCTAGTTTAAAGCATTTGCAAACATGCAAATTGTTTAGACTTAACATTTTCTGGAAAATTGTGGAGCGTTGTGACTCTACAAGACACTTAGCCCGTTCTACACTTTGCCGTCCTCGGTCTGAGGTGGTCCAATACCAAAAAGATCATTGTGTGTGGGTTCGTTCAGCTTCCAGCAGGATTAACAACTTGTACACAATTTCTCAGACAGTAGCTCACCAAACTTTGAGAAGAAACAACACGTTTTGTTTTAACAAAGCGAAACTGTTATTAGGAATCTGCAGTAATTCCAACCTAAGTCGGTACTAATAGAACGCTCCTTTAGATAAAAACAAGTCGGAGCTAACCATAGAGTGAAACTCACCGGAACTTACCAACTTGAAACCTGAAATTGACAAGTCATGGCTTTCGACGTTCACACGCACAAGGAAGGGTTTTACACACACACATAGACTTACACACACACACACACACACAAGTAGACACACACATAGTCTCACACATTCCCCCCAACCCCCTTACACACACACATAGAAACATCCACAAACGCATACACTGACACGTATACATGCAGACTCGCACATTGTCCTCCTTATACACACAGGCACGTACAAGTATATGTACAGGCACTCAGACTCACACAGCCACTTATATACACAAGCACAAACACACACATACACATGTATATACACGCAGACACGTATGCACAGGCTCACACAGCCACACACGCACATATACACGCAAATATACACACATAGATACACATAGACTCTCTCTCACACACACAGGCACACAGGTATACACAGACAAAAACACACTCACCCTGGATCCAAAGCGTAACACATCACTACAGGCACATTTTCACAATATCTCGAACATTTCTTTTTTCCCTGTGAAACTATTGTACGATCAGCGATTAGTCATTTTGCGCTGCTCGTTTTTTTTTGATTTCGCCTGAACATCGCGTTGATCAATTTTCTGATGAAAACGCGTTTCTCCTGTGTGTCACCATTTAAGTATAAATCTATCAGCATGGTAACACCTTTACTCCTTCTGTAAGTGATAAATCTGATAAGAATCGAATTAGCACTTAAATAAGAACGTTCTGGCGAAGTGCGGAGGACAATAAATAACAGCCTGTCCTTTGTGCCTACAGATGTCTCGTTTTCTTTATCCAAACCATTCGCTTGTGAATGTCAGATCAGTTCTATAAATCTAGAAAACTCTGGGTTTATATCATTGGTCGATTTAGAAAGAGATGTGCTAGTGAACTGATGAACAAAAAGACGCTGTAATTAAGATCCGAAAGAGAATATATGATGCCCAGAGAAAGACCAACGAATTGTATGGTCTCGTTTTATTTTAAAAGCTTTATAAAGATGTTTTTTTTTTAAAAAGAGATACTGATTATAATCTATCGGGGTATTTCAATATCTGGTTTTAAAGTATTCCATCCTGTATCTTAGATACCAACTAATCCCGTTCGCTCGTTTGAACGGATCTCGATAATTAATGCAAGTTAGTCTCTACGTCTGAAGTTTTTCTTGCTAGTCAGCTCTGCCTTGAGGCTCGCTGTCCTCAGTATAACCCTGTGCCTTAGCCAGGGGCTATTTATATAACTTTACCTGTAAGGGGAGCGGTGATTGAACCGAATATTAGAGGGCGATTGAGACAGAAGATCAAAACCGACCGCAAACAGCACAGGGTAACTCTTAGCCGGTTAATTAAACAATCATTTCTGACGAGTCAGGTCTGCCCGGTTACACGTGGTCTAACTCCAATGCGGTGCCTGATCACAGCTCAACAACAAACATCCTTAGGCTTTACGAAAAGATCGATGTGAATCGACGAATAATGCTCCCAAGGCAGAGTGTATGTGTGTGTTTTTGTGTTCTTTGGGGTGGGAGACAGCACTGACATCAATCGTAGTGGCGCGCCTTTTAAAATTCAAATCAAAATGAAGCACTCCTCCAAAAAATACACAATTGAATTTTTTGCGCTAGTTGTTAAAACAATGGCGCCCATTAGCTCTACTTCTGTCAATCAGCACAGACCATGTAACTGGGCGGGATTACAGAGACAGCGAAAGCATACTAGCCCACAACACACACACACACACACACAAAGGTCTTCTTCAGAGATCTGTTAAAGTTACAATTGCAACAGGAGTATAAAAAACACGGGCAGATGCAACAATTCCTCGTCGCGAGCCACCGAAATGACCAAAATTCGTTGGTTTTGCCCGAATCGTGTGTGGTCGCCTCAATAAATTGTGGTCTATAGATTGTAATTACAGTACCGACTGTTCCCGTGACATTACTCATCCATAAACTTCCGTTTAACTACTAGGGGCTTGTTAGGCATTGCTGAGATCCTACCTGCAGCGTAGGAATGGGGTGGAGGTTAAAGTGTCCACCGGCACCATCGTCAGCATTCAGTACAGAAGCGGTACATGAGGGAGCGGGTGGATTCCCTCATCCCGAACCCAGGTTAGATTCGGGTTTACAGTCTCAGTTCAAAATTCCCTTTACATGCAATGGGGCATGAGCAAGTGAAGAGAGTTCAGAGCGAACCGTGACAACTATATGCATTTGCAAAATATGCTTGGCCTGTGGAGCGCTAATTGAGCATCTTTAACTTCATTCGGTACTATTCGCTAGCTTGGGAAGCTTTCTGATAGGGAGGAAGAAGTGAGGGTAACACAAAAGATCATAATGGAAAATAAAAAAGCTCACTAGTATGAAGGCCTCTTAAAAATAAAGCAGCACACCATTTATTAAAACAGACCTTTGAGAGCCTACGCAGTAAATATGTACTGTTTATAACGATGTGTCACGGGTGGATCAACGTTACCAGCCGCAAGCTATAAGATAAAATCAACCATGATATTAATCCTTTTCCACAGGAATATTCAAATTAATTCAAAAAGGAAAGGTAAAGTTTTATTTTTGAGAGGTGAAAATGGTTATATGGTTACGAGAGTTTTGAATGATGATTTTGAAAATTGATTGAAATAAAAGGTCTTTTCGCAAATCTTTTTCTGGCAAAACAGGAACTGTGGTGTTTAGGGCTCTCTATACAGTGACTTGAGATCGAATTGGAGTTATTTGGGCTGTCTACTCACTATATAATGGAGACGTTCAAGTGTCTTATAAGGGACAGAAAACAAAAGCACCAATGCATTTTCGGCTTAATCAGTGAATTGCAATCTGGGCAGATGATTGAGGTTGGTTAACTAAGGGTGCATATCAGAATCTCCAGATCCTTGCGCATTAAGGAGGCTTGCGGGTGCAAATCAACTTGAGGAAAAGTAATATCCCACTACCCCCACCAAAAAAGGGAGAAATCTTTGATCTAAGTGAAGAATATTCGCTCTCTGACCTAAACAAATCTATGTTATGTGTTCTGTGGCACTTCGCTTCCGCTGGCCTTCTGACTGAAATTCCCTCTTCACTGCCTCATTTCCTGGCTATTTATTCAGCTAATGACGTCACGTCAAGTGGCGTCGGCATGGCTGGCCATTTCAGTAAAATGCAGAGCATCAAAAGAGCAACCTCCCATTTCCCCAATTACATACTGTTAGCCTGTGTAGCCGGCCTGGGAATTAGACTCTAAATACCAGCCCGCGGCCCTCCTATTCCGATGCAGTGAACTGGAATGATTTGCCAGTGCGAGGCACTGTGCCTACCTGACACGATTCAATTCCGAGAGAATAGTTGGCTCCCAATCACCTGTCATCATTCTACATTTCACATAGGCACCTCTAACAGCCTTTCCCAATTTCAAAATAAAATGATTTTCCCTCTCATTCTCTAACCCAGACTCCATCTACCCCTCCCAGCACAGATGCTCCTGTGGCGCAGGGTCCCTGCTTCTGAACCAGGAGCTGTGCGTTCAAGTTTCATCTGCTCCAGACACGTGTCACAATATTTCTGTACCAGGTTGATAAGTGAAAACATCGATCTCTACCCGTCGCTCTTAAGGTTTCGCAACCCCTCTCTCTTCCCTCTAATAAGACTTTTCATCAAACCTACACCTTAGAGCAAGGTGTTGGTTACCAGTCGTAATGTCGTTTCACGTGGAGCTCTCTCTCTCTGTCGATCTTGTGCTTTACAAAGTTCCTGTCAGGCACGTTGGGACGTTTGAGCAGCAGAAAGGCGCTACATAAATGCAAGTTGTTGTCGCTCTCCCCACGTCGGACAGGCAGAACGGCCGAATCTGACCTTTGCCTGCCGACAGTTACCTGCCATTTACACTGCCTCTGTTCACATGTGAGTGAATATTTTATTACTTTCTTCACATGTGAATGCATACTTAAGTCATTTTGCCTTGGACCTGAACCGTCAAGGAGTCCCTACGTTAAAGCGCCCAGGTGTTGCTCACATATAAATCGAGAGATTTAAAACGTACCAAATCACTGGGTGTTTGGACAGCACGTCTGATAAGTGCTAAAACAAAAATTCCAGAACGAATCGTCTCTTAAAAAATATATAGGACTTTTCAATTAAAAATGATAATTTTTGAATGACTTTTGCGGGGTGTAGAGGCAAGTCGGGACAATGTTACATTGCGGAAGCGGGATGATTGGCATTTGTAGTTTACCAATAAACTCTGACTTCTGCAACCACCATCAATTCCACCCCCCACACCCCTCAACCCCTCAATCCCTCCCCAACACGCCACAAACCTTTTCCATTAATCAACTTTGCCTCTGGAGGAGGAGGCTTCCTCTGATTGTTCGAAGAGAGAGAAAAAAACCTCCATTCGGCCCCTCCTCATTCCAACCCTCTGACAATGGGTGCCCAAAGAGTAGCCAATGGGCGTACTTGGAGGGGTGAGGGGGCGGGCGCCGTCGTCCACCAATGGGAGGGAGGTTTGACCGGCCAATCAGAAAGGGGGTGGTGTGTGGTTGGGCGGGGCCTGAGCCTCCGGGGTGCAGTGGGGGAGGAGGGTTCTGATTGGCCGCGAGGGGGTGGGTTGTTTTTAAGTTCCGACGCGCCGTGCATTGAGAGCTGACTGGCGCCATCCGCCAGTTCAGAGAGAATGCCTTCACTGTGAAAAAAAAACTGGGACATAAACACCATCTGATCAGCTCACGCTCCTCCAGCCCCTAGCTCATGTGCGCGACTGACAACCTCCTGAGAGCCAGCGAAGGAACAGCAAAGGTTCGTTCAGCGCTTCTTTCTCTTCCTTTTCCACAAAAAAAACCCAAAATGACTAAACCCACTAGCTCACCTCTTGAAAGGACGAGTGCGTTGCGAAGTGGTTCATTTTAAAAAAAATTACAGAACAAGACTGGAATTAAACAGCGTCAAAGCTCAAATTTAGCAGAGCATTATTGATTGGGGATTTACATGGTTAATGTTTGGTTAAAGGTTTTTATTTGGGGGCAGTATTGGATACCAAATGGATTCAGGCAATGGAACTAATGGTTTTTTTTAATGTTCCTTGTTCAGTTAATAACTTTATTCGCATTCAGCGATGCGGGACCTTCAGTGTTCTCGGTCGTTTTAAATTAGTTTCGATTTTAGACTTACTTGTTTTTCTCTCTCCACACCCCCCCCCACTCCATTTTATGAAGAGTCAGGTGTCAGTTTCAGATAAAGTAACCTTCGCTTTCCTTTCGTCTCTCCCTCTCTCTCTTCCACCCTCCCCAACACCCCCACCCCCTACCCCACTGTACAGGTGTATGAGAAAGCAGCGCCGAAGGATCAACTTTAAGTGGATTGTGTAAACTGAAAAATAGAGCTCGGACTTTGAAGGGGACAGGGACTGTAATCCCAGAGACAAACACACACATACCAAAAAAAAGGGGGTTGCATTCGAAGGTTGGCCGCGATGGAAGTGGATCAGCCCCGCTGGATGACTCACCATCATCCCGCCGTGCTGAATGGACAACATCCCGACTCTCACCACCCAGGCTTGGGACATGGGTATGTGGACTCTGCGCCCTATCTCCCGTCCGAGGAAGTGGATGTACTTTTCAACATTGATGGCCAAGCGAATCACGTCGCATCATACTATGGAAACTCGGTCCGGGCCACCGTGCAGAGATATCCACCACCACACCACGGTGAGAATTTGTTACTTTTCGCGTTTACTGTCGGGGTGCATTGTAGACTCACTCCATGTAACCACACACATGTTTCAGTGTAGAAGTGCAGACGCATCAGTTTGCCTTTTGAGTGAGATTCTTTTTTTTAGAAAAAAGAAAGCCTTAGCTGACAACTTGCAAACTGACACTTCTAACATTTTTTTTTGCTTTCTAACATGTTTTTATCCGCCTCTACAACTTTATTCCAACTACTTTTGATAATCACAAACGCCAGGGATATAGAAACAAGATGAATTGTGCTGCCGTTTCTTGATCCGAATGGTCGAAATCTTTAGTAAGAGGGGCGAGTTTAGCGTGAGTACTTCCCGGATGTAATAGAGAGGGGCTTTAATTTTCCACAGAAAGACCCACTAAATTACGATGCCTATTGAACCCCATGTTTTCCAGTCGCCCGGGGATTATTGCATTTATTGTTACTTATCGCGAAATTTGACATTTCCGAGCTTGGACTCCCTAAATAATGTTCTATTTTTGCGACCCTTTGCAGCGTGGGCGTTCATTTTGTGACTTGTTGAATACGCTTAAATGCTGTTACTTGCGGTGTTTGTTCGTGACAGGTTTAGTTGTAGCTGGGAGAAAGCTGTGTACATTGTAAACTGAAAGTACCTTTATGGACTTCTATTTCTCAGCTGCCACTTTGCGTGTTTTTGTGGCACACACACCACATAGTATACAAGGAAGAAAAGAGCATTTGTATCTTAAAGGATATATCTGGATTTCACTTTGCGCAGTCCTTGCCTTGAGAGTGAAGTACCATATTCAATGCTGTACACTATATAAAGAATGTTTATGGTCAAAAAGAATGCATTTCAAAGTGTTTAGCTTTGCCTAAAATGAACCAAAATGCTTCTTTGGGTCAACTCATTATCCTTGTTTTGTTTTGGAAATGTAGTTAAGAATGAATTTGGTATAATTTAAATAAGTAGTTAAAGTAGCAAGAGGGGCCGATTAATTTTAACATAAAATTATCAAAATCTAAAATGTTTCTAGGAGTTACAATGGAAAAATAAGTTGCTAAGACTGAAATTGTGCTATCAATAAGTAAGTTTAGGGGTTTGGATGTAATGCTACATTTACTGATCAGCAATTTTATTTTGTCATTTTAGGGAGTCAGGTTTGCCGCCCTCCTCTGCTTCACGGCTCTCTGTCCTGGCTTGATGGAGGAAAATCCCTGGCTTCTCATCATAATGCTTCTCCTTGGAATCTGAGTGCATTCAGCAAGGCTCCACTCCACCACAGCTCCCCAGGAGCTCTTTCTGTCTACCCTCCATCCTCATCAGCCTCCCTGTCAGCAGGACACTCCAGCCCTCACCTCTTCACCTTCCCCCCTACCCCTCCCAAGGATGTCTCCCCTGACCCGACCATCTCCACCCCCGGGTCGACCAGCTCCAGCCGCCAGGAGGACAAGGAGTGCATCAAGTACCAGGTGTCCCTGGCTGAGGGCATGAAATTGGAGACAGGATCCTCTCACCCCAGAAGCAGCATGGCATTAGGAGGGTGCTCATCCTCAGCCCATCACCCTCTGGCCTCTTACCCACCTTACGTCCCTGAATACAGCTCCAGCCTCTTTCCATCTGGCAGCCTGTTAGGAGGATCTCCCCCGGGCTTTCCTTCCAAATCAAGACCGAAAGCACGTTCCAGCACAGGTAAGCTTCACTCCATTTCTTACTCAACAACACATCTAGCAATGTGGTGCTCACAGAAACTCCTGGAGGCACTGTGAAATCAAGGTTACTGTATCAAATTGATCATTTTTCCTGCATGCTTATCATGTGGATATCAGTTGCTATTTAGTTAGTTAATTATGAGTTAGATATTAATCAGAATCATTTAAGATAATGTGAACTTGTGATTGGAAAAACAAGTGTTTAACCATTGGACAAGGGTGCATAAAAGACCTCAATCCCTTAGAAAGCTTTAATGAAGATACTGGCCTGATTCAATAACTGCATGCAAAATATAAAATGCCTACTACTTTGCGGGCTGTAAAGGTCCCAATCTGACTTACTTATGAATTAAACAGATTTTTTTTAACCAAATGAAAATTTCCTTTGAATTTCAATTTGTAACAAGTAAACCACATGACACTCACCAATAGGGGTTAGTGTTCACTTAGAATTAAAAGGAACCAGGGCACATTTGCAGTAATACAAAGCATCCTGTGATTATATCATTATTAGTAATACAGCCTAGAAAGGAACATTCTTGTTCTGGATGGCTAGAAGTTGAATCCTAAAATCCCTCCAAATACTCCCACAAATACACACACAAAAACTTATGCACATGAAAATGCTAAACTATTTTAATAAGGAATACAATAATGGACATTACTATATTGATCCAATTTTCAAATCTCAACACTGAAAATAAATAAGCTATCTATGTTAAAATCAAGTCACACCTCCTATTTCCTCATTGAGCAGCACAGGTATAGTCAGTCGTTCACAGATTGGCTGTCAATTGTATTGGGAGCTTAGATGTCAGCTTGTTACTCGACCAACCTGAAGACTTTGAAACAGAAGCAACGTCTTTCCCATTAAACATTGCACCTTGCAATAAAAAAAAACACAGCCTGCTTTTTTAGCAAGCCCTTTCTATTATGTAGCATTTTACTGCTGAATTTAATCCAGTGCTGTTTTTGCTGTGAGAACTGGAGCCAGCGATCCTGCTGATTCCGATCGGCTTCCCTGAACTGTATCGGCGGAGCAGTTATTGGGACAAGCAGACTGGCCCTTTTCGTGGTTTCTGTGTCTTAACTAATCCAATTATTTTCAGACTGATGCACGCGACAGTTTCATTGTTTATCCAGAGCTGTGAACTTTAATAGATTCCGGACGCGCAAGGCACAGGCCAAACTGCAGAGCAGTCAACAGAGAGAGAGGGAGGGAGAGGTGGATGTGGCTTGGAGGGTGGAAGACTTAAACAAATAATAACTGCCATACTGTCGGTGATTGAATAATCAACTGAGCCCCAGATTATGCAGGCGGCTATTGACACTTGCTGTAATTAAGGCAGGAATCAGCCATTGAGAATGCAAGAGCAAAATACAAAAATGGGCGTTTATGGGCAAAATTGAATGCTACATGTCTTAATTAAGACCTCTATTTGACTTCTTAAGTAATAACGCGTTAGGCAATGGGTATAGAAACCACAGCAGATCCCACAGAAGAACATAGAAGTGGTTTCTCTGCTCAGCAATTTTTACATTGCTATTTCTTTAGCGATTTGAGGAGTTTATCAAAACACAGATTAGAACAAAGCTTCTGAGCGTTGTCGGGACGGTGTCACCAATATGTTCCTCCACAGCCCTACAATTGATGTTGCTGGGATAACTGAGAGATTAATAACTATTTGTGTGGCAGATTAGATCCTGGGGCTAATTTATTGAAAATTACTTGCATCAGCAGCATTTCTACAAAGCGGTTCTTGTAGTGTTGTATGTGGCAGCAGACTCGGCGTAAGTTGATACACGTTAGGAGAGAAAAAAAAAATGTTTAAAAATAGGTCACTTTTGTCCTCAGCCTGATGTATTTTTTTTCGCAGGGCTTATGAGAGACTTTTAAAATGCATTAGTTTTAGGTATTTGCGGTTTGGAAAAGCCAAATCGAGAGCAGGTTTTTGCGCAACAATATTCTCTCTTCCCGTTTTTTCCTCTTTAAAAAAGGCAATGAATGCAAATATTTGAAGGTAAAATACTGGGAGTGTTTTTTTTTGTTCAAAGTACGGATGCCTTGCCTCGTCTGTATTCTTCTGTAGAAATAGTGTATCAAGCTGCAACTTTTGGAAAAACGGTTAAAGCTTGTGGTTAGGGTGCGGATGCCTCTTCTCAACGTATTTACTCAATACTCAGTGCACGGTCTAGATTCACTGAGACGCGAAAGAGTCACAAGGCCAGAAAAGAAACGATCAGGGGGCAAACTAAAGGAGAGAGTAGGTTTGTGACTTATAAGTTGAAGGTGGTAGTGCAGAAATAAAAGGATGAAAATATCTGTAGCTGTGATATTACCAGTTAACTTTTGCGGTTGTCACCGTGTACACGCGCCAATCGGAACATAGAAACATTGGTACTGAGACAACGGGACGTGTTAATTTCCTCCTCCTCCCCCTACTCTACACCATTTACTGTACACCACCCCTTCAAAAAATACACATCTTTACACTGTCCCCTCCAGCTCTGTACTCTCATTTCAAGCTCACTTTATTTCCAGTCTGACAGTGTTCAATAATAACCCCCAAATTGCCAGCCAATTACTGACTCATGCCTTTAATGTTCTGCTAAGCTCCAAGTGGGTCTTGATTTGCGGCGAATTTTGGACTTGTGAAAATGATAATGTTTTGAATTTGAAGACACCTCAGGATTGATCACGATAATCCTCCCTCCCCCTTTTTTGAATGTTTATTAAAAAATCTAATGCACAAAAGTCCCTTTGAATGTGTCTGAGTCCATTCTTCAGACTGACATACAGAATAAATGAGCAATGCATTGACCGTTCCCCTTCTGTTTTTTCAGGGGATCGCGAAAAAATACTTCGTGACTGTAAATTGCACCATTTGGAAGTTGACCGATCAAGCTGTAGTGAACTGGGGATATGTGCATTCGACATTTTAATAGGTGTGCGACTTTATGTAGGTCAGGACATTGTCCAGTCAATGGCATATGATTGTCAAAAAAAAGATGTCAACTGTCAACAGCTAGGAGTGCTCACATAGTGTTACAATAGTTGATGTGCATTTTTTTGCTATACTGATGGAGACAGCCAGCGTTAGCACAGTTGACATTTTTGCATCTCAAAATTAAGATTTTTTCCAGTATCCATGGCATTTTATTGTCTTGCAATTTATTGAAAACTGTGAAATGTACAAATATCCACTGTTTTATCTTTTGTGCGTGTTGGTACATACATTAATCATGTTGTTAACGTTATTAATATAACCTGTTCACGCTGACAATACACGCATTGCTGACTCTTATGAATTTGACCCGAGGTTGGCAAACATAAGACTGGCAAATATTCTTTTACGACTATTTCTTGTGCATTATGGAATCTGCCAAGGTCTTTAAATTACTCATTTACTTATCTATTGGCCCTCTAATAAACAACGAACATTAAGGTTTAGAAATAAACCTTTCGCGAGCGTTTACAAATAGTTTTAACGAGATATCCTGAGCTACAAGCTAAAGACTCCACTCAGCCTAATGTAATTTTGGGCTTATTGCATTGCAAATATTTGCCTAAAAAGTGAGTTAGAATCAGCTCTTCCGTACTTTGATGTCCACTGTGGCGCCCGGCACATTATGTAGAAATTAAATAAAGGATCATTTTAAAAGAGCAATGAAAAGTACTAACCGTCAGACTTAATACTAAAACATTTCACAAGGACCTTTATAATGCGATGTGTCCAACGATAAACAAAAACAAAAGGCCCTGCCTCTTACACTAGGGGAAAGCAACCGTGAGGATACCATGAGATAGCAGAAAGCAGGAAGATTTCAGTTGTACCAAATTGGGTTACAGAGGTGGCTTTGAAAAAGGGGCTATTCCACTTTTGACTTTCAATATTATAACATAATCTTTTAAATTTTACAAACGCAATAATCGAAACCAATCGCTATGTCTCTCTAACTGTGTGATGAAAACTGTCCAACTTTATTATCCATACAAGCAAAGTAAACCATATATAAACTTCCTAACAATATGCTTACTATGTATTTATAGTATATACAACTAAAGAAAGATTTAGACATAGTACTTAGGCAGTTGTTGATGCTGTTGTAAAGGGATGTACAGGTATACAATGATATGGGTTATATACTTGGAAGTTATAGCTGCACACTTCTGAAAACAGACACTTACATCTCTGCACGTACACTGTAAGCTAGAATTGCTGACTAGGCAACATTTTCACATGCACTAATTTTAGCACAAAATACCTGAACAAACGCACACACTTCACGTGTGTATATTTACTTAACAAATATCTGCCTACACCTAGAAACTGGGGATGTTAATTAGTCAAAAAAACTAACTTAGTCAAAAGGACGAAAACAAACACATACCTTTTTGCTTTTCGCTATTTTTTTTCCCACCAAGAAACGCACAAAAAGGTTAAAACATTCATGAATGTGGAGCTCTCACATGCCCAAGAACGGTACCTATTATTCATGTTTTATTTACTAAGTAGAAAGGCAATTAGCCACATCTGGATTTCCAATTAGCCACATGTGGCTAGTGATTTAATCCAATGGACAGCATTGCTGTAAAGTGACATAAATACAGCATGCATTCCCAGCCGTATTAAACAAACAAAGCAAACATCATCTCATCATCTGTGGTGTGTTAGAGTGACTGGCTTGTGATTTTGTTTTAGAAGGTCGAGAATGCGTGAACTGTGGAGCCACCTCTACCCCCCTGTGGAGGAGGGACGGCACTGGGCACTATCTGTGTAATGCTTGCGGTCTGTACCACAAAATGAACGGCCAGAACCGACCTCTCATCAAACCCAAGAGGAGACTGGTGCGTAGCAGGGGATCGAATGATCAAACAGCAGCTTTTCATTTCCTGATCTAGAGTAAAATGTTTCTTTTGGGGTGGGGGGGGGGGTGGTGGTAGGTCGGGTTGGGGGGTGTGTGTTGCGGAAATTGACACGATACCTCGAGTACTGCAACCAGTTCTTCAAATGTTTTGAAAGGAAAGGCGGCTGTGAAAGCGCGCGGGTATTTCTAGTTATGTTTCTGACACCCTGAAAGAAGACAGAATATTCACCTCCTTCTTGTCAACATCACACACTTTTTGCACGCATTCCCTTCCCTCTCCACCCCCACCCCTTCACGACACACATTTTTAATTCCCAGACGCTTTAATTCATGACTGAACACGTTTCAAATTCGAAAGCAAATGAAATTGAAGTAATTTTATTTCAAATGAAATCCAACTTAAGTCTTAGTCAGTAACACGTCCCGCGACGTGACATTTTTAATCTGACTTCCTGAACAGTTCATAGAGAATGCGCTCATCGGTTTTTCGTTGACAATGTTGTTGGCCTTTTGTTTCAATCCACGTCACCTAATAGGAGCCACCAAAAGAACCTCTTTGATACACTTCACAACGCACCCAGACTTGATCATCTGACATGACTTCCAGTTAGATATTTTCTAATTTACCTGTTCAGAGATATTATGACACAGCTCAGGTGGGACTTGAACACTGAACTTCCTAGCTCAGTGGCAAGGATAGCACTACTGCGCCTCAGCCCTGCTCGCTAGGTTTTTTTTTTAACATTAATCTGTTCAGAGATATGACACAAACTCCGGCCTCCTGGTTCAGTGCTGAGGACACTACCACTCTGCCCTTTCCGCTGGCCTCCAGCGGGGAGGGGTATTGCTGACACCTAAGCCAAAGAGGCAGGCTGGAAACGGTGAGAGATTTGCCATCAATTTTCCTTCCAACCTGCCTCACAGAAGTCACGAGATGGCCTGAAATCGCTTTCAAATGGGCCCCCTCTCCTATTGCTGCAGTAACCAAAAAAAATTGTGCATTATAATTAACTGCTAATCAGTCAGCATGTATTTAATGTTGCATCAATTCTATCCCTTTGTTCAGACCATTCCCGCTCCCAGGGCAATCTTTTGTCCTCTTGTGAAAATGTTGATTGTAATGACTGAGCCCCTAATGGAATTCCAATCTTTCACTGCCTCGTTAGGATAGGAAAACTTTCTAGGGAGGGAAATGTTTGCAGTGCACTTATTTGGCAACAGGTCGCCCCTTTCTTTACTCTCTTCCCAACCTCCCCCCCCCACCCCGCGCCGTCCGCATCCTATCCCTGATCTCTTAATGTAAAAAGCTGACTTCCTATGCTAAGGCGGCCGGATATCTGCCGGCCTGAGATAACTGCTTTCCACAACAATATCACTTCCCGACCTCAAAACACAAAGGTGTTTGAACAAGAAATCAGGAGGTTTGGGGGTTTGAAATGGGGGGTGGGGTGGGGAGGTTGGGGCTGTTTTTTTTAAAAAATGGAATGATTAAAGTTTGGTGCAGGGAGTTTCGGGTGTCTGTCTAAACAGGATCAGCTTGAAGTTTATGTCATCAGCAAAGCAATATGTCGCACTTTCTTACTGGAGACTAGTGGGTCTGTGTAATTATTACAATAACATGTATCAAGACGTTTTCATCACTGGCGTCTTCTGAATTGTAAAACTCTGTTTTTGTGTCTTCTGAATTTTGTCTGCTCCTTCTTTTGTATTAAAAATAAGTGGATCTGTGCATGTCCTAAAAAATACACTTTGCATTCGGCTGCTGGGAAAATGAAATCGAGATTGATAGCAGAAAACGCTGGGTCCCAGTAAGAGAGCTCTATTGCCAATAAGGCATAGACCACACCCCGGTTATTAGAAAGGTACAAGAATTTCACCCCCTAACCTCCGAGCCTAAGTTCACTCCCTGGAGCTCCCTCCCGAAAGAGACACTCCTGCCTAAACCTGCCCAAACATTTCAGAAAAATAGGCATTGTCCTTTTATATAAGGCAGTTTCATTTCTTAAAGACAATGACTGGCTAGCCAAACCACGCAGGGATTGCGTAGACCTCGTTCATTCCAAACGCCTCAGCTGAACTAAGTGGTTCAGGTATAAATTTTAAGTTCAGTGTCGATTTAAAAGAATAACATGGCAGTCTTGTTTCTATATTTTTAAAAAATGGAATGGAGTGCACACACACACAAAATGTAGCATTTACAAATCTTTTAAGTTCAGTCCTTGCCTTGCAATTGTTTCATGATTTGTGGAACGTTTGACAGGCCCCGCTTAATAAGTTTCTGTTCAGTTGCCTGGATGTTACTCATCCATTTCAGGGGTTTGTAAGAGCATCAAAGCCACTAATATTTGTGCAGATTTCGTTTTGGATGGGTTTAGGCTTCACTGAGCAGATCCTTATCCATCCATTTACCTGGTGGGGTGTAGTGAGGTTGTGTCTGCATTTCCAAGACAGTCAGAAACAAAAGGTGCCCCATTTAAGCCGTAAATTTAGAATGTTAAAAATACATCATAATTTTAAAAAATCCATTTGTATTGAGCCTTTAGTGACCCCCGCGGCATTATGCGGCAAACGTAGTGTTACTAGGTAGGAAACACAATTAAATATTTTACGTAGGCTTTAGGAAAATATTTTTTTCAGCGCGGGATCTATAAAGAAATGGCTTGAAGAACAACGTTGTTTATTTACTAAATGGGTTGCACTCACACCTTTGAGGATTTGATTGTATGGGGAGATTTTGTGTGTGTTTTTTTTAAGAAAAGACCCTTTGTGTTTTGTTATTGCAGTCTGCGGCCAGACGGGCAGGGACGTCCTGTGCTAACTGTCAGACTACGACCACCACATTGTGGAGACGGAATGCCAATGGAGACCCGGTCTGCAACGCCTGTGGACTCTACTATAAGCTCCACAACGTGAGTGCAAACAAGCACCCCCTGACCAACCAGGGAGGTGGGATCACCGTCTGTCCCTTACCCCTGGCAACTTTCCACCATTGGAGAAACTCAGCAGGCCTGGCAGCATCTTTGGAAAGAAAACAGAGTTAACGTTTCGAGCCCAGTGACCCTTCATAGCCTTTGAATGTTCTAAACAAGGGTCACTGAACTCCAAACGCTAACTCTATTTTCTCTCCACAGATGCTGCCACACCTGCTGAGTTTTTCCAGCATCCGACTTTTACCTACCAATTAATTGTTTTTTGGAGGGCTTGGGTTTCAACTGACCAATATACTGGAAATGCTGATACTGGGCACAGAAGGGATGGAGCGATTAGCCTCTTCCTTAGTAAAAGAAAAACTTCCAATGCTGAAAATCTGAAAGACAGAAATTGCTGGAGGAACTCAGCGGATCTGGCAGCATAGGTGTAAAGAGAAACAGAGTTAATGTTTGGGGTCAGGTGACCCTTATTGGGAAATGGAGTGACCGCCAGGCTAACAATCAATTAACCCTTAAGGTGCATCAGTTCTAAGAAGGATCCCAAATGTTAGATAACAGGGTACAGAGCTGGATGAACACAGCAGGCCAAGCGGCATCAGAGGAGTAGGAAGGCTGACGTTTCGGGCCTAGACCCTTCTTCAGGAAAAAGTTAAAAATGTTAACTATGTTTCTCTCTACACAGATAATGCCAAACCTGCTGGATGTCTTTCAGCAATGTCTGTTTTTGGTCTCGTTCTGTGCCTATTCATTCTGCTATAAGTACCTGTAATTCTAAATACAAAGACATGTAGCCAATTATTACGGAGATTAAAATGGTGTGGTAAAATACTACCGGATGCTGGAGATTAGAAAAAAAAAGCGAATATCTCAGCAAGGCCGGCAGCATCTGTGGAATGGAGGAGAGAAAGTGGACTTTTCAGATTCATGATCTGTACCCAGGTCTGGAAAACATGGAGATGTGACAGATTTTAGGCGGTTGCAGAGGCAGCGAGAGGGTAAACTGTAGAAGGGATTGAAGAAAAGGATGGTGGGTGGGAGGCCGAATGAGACAAGAAATTTTAAAAAAAAAACAAGGAGGCGGATTTCCAGCGAAAGATTACCGCGATTGAATGAAGCTTCTGATTAAAGTCAAGCTGCAGTTTATTGGAATGACTGTGTTGTGGGGCTTGACGTGAGGTTGGTTGTGAAACTGACGCTAGTCACAGTTATATTGGTACGAATTAAACAAAAAAAAAAGTCAGAAATTGCTGGAAAACTCAGCAGGTCTGTGGAGTGGGAAAGCAGAGTTAACATTTTGGGTTTTTGGAACCTTCTTGAGTTCTGAGGAAGGGTCACCGGACCCGAAACGTTAACTCTGTTTTCTCCTTCACAGATGCTGCCAGACCTGCTGAGCTTTTCCAGCAACTTTGTTTTTGTTCTTCTTCGGAACAGACCGTTTAAAACAAAACCTGTGTCATGAATTCCAAAACATTGACTTCTCCTTTCCTCCAGATGCTGCTTGGCATGCTGTGTTTTTCCAGCCTCCTGTTTGTCTACCTTGGACTCCAGCATCTGCAGTTTTTTTTAATGTAACAAAACTCTAGCGTAAACACTGCAAATGAGAACCAATCCTTGGAATAACAGGTTTCCGAGAGAGAGAGATTAGGAAGAAATTAACTGCCGGCCCACTGCATTTGGGCGCAGCTATCCCGCAGTATGCCCGCAAAAGGAAAATTGTAAGGAACAAAATTGGAATCTAACAGGTGATTAAAAAGTGCAGATTGGTGAGGCCAGAAATAAAATGATAATGGACATTTTGAAAGATTTGAAAGGTAAAGGAGTGGGAAAACTGAGCTGTTGGACAAAATGAATATGCAGTCTCTCATACAGACTGCTGTGGATGTCACAAAAAAAAAGCAAATTCAAAAACACCCTAAGTTTCGTTTTGACGTGGACATTCGTTGAAAGACGCGAGCGAGAGAGAAAACGTATGACATCAGAAAACCTGCAGTAAATACATCACTTAAACCTATTAAAATATAAATTAATCAGGGAGGCGCCGGGGAGGAAGGGTTGGTAGAAAAGTAAAATACAGAAACTATGCGGGTTAACGATGTGGAATAAATCCAGCCAGTCAAAGTAGGTGAGCGATGCTAAACCTGAGATTGAAGGCAATTCAGTTGTAAATGAGCTGGGACTGAAGGGCCGCACCAGTGTAATTGACTTGAATTGGTTCACGTGTTAATATATGTGTCGAACACTTTTAATCTAATTCTACGGAGTGAAGGTTGACAAAAGGGCGAAACCATGAGTGCACGGTTTAAATTGGAAGCGATACCTTTTTGATTGTGTTACTCGTGAAATATGAGCAGGTTTGTTCTGCCGGGGAGGTGGGAATGTGCGGGAGAGACCACCTCTGTTGTCAGTTTATTGGGGAGGATTTAAGGGCCTGTAGTAATTGTCACGTGAACGGCGCCAGTCTAATTTAATCAATTAATCCTTACGGTGCATCAGCTTGGACAGACTTCATCTGGTGTGCATTTCTCTGGCAGCTGCCAATAAACTTTAGCCCACAGGCTTTTCAGTCATGTTTGTTGATTTAGGCTCTGCCCCTCTCTGTCCAGTCTTATTATTAGCAAGTTTACAAGAATGTCGCAAAGTATTACACTAGAAAAAAGATAATGACTAGCCTCCAGTTACTCATTTATGAGAGAGTTCAAGCAATTGCATGGGCCCTTGCATCTCTGCTGATCTTTAATGTATTTGACAGTATGTTTAAGCAGGTATAGCACACATAACGTAACTGACCATTTGCAGGTAAACAATTTCTATTAAACAAACTATTGTTTGCCCTCCAACAGTATGCAGTGACAATAGGTTTAAGGGGCAAAGAGTAGGTTGGTGGTCCCTAATGTCTTTATTAAATCATTGTGTGATGTGCTCGGTAACTACATTTATTCTCCATTATTTACCTTTGTGTTGTGAAATATAGCCTTGATAATGCCTCATTAAGCCATTGTACCACATACCCCATTGTCTATGTTATGCTGTGTGGTCTGTTCTAGGGGCAACCTACTATTTTTTGAATTAAATTGTAATAAGTTTTCATTAGCATAAAGCCTCCATTACAAAATTAGGAGGTCAATAAAATGTTGCACTATGTCATGATGCAACAGTTCAGTTTGCAAATAAAAATTGTTGGCTATAGTTTTAGTTGTAGTTCAACAAGTTTGAGAGTTATTGTTATAACAAGTAGATGGAGCAGGTAGAGACTGATTTTCTGTACATGAATATGCATTTTGTTCAAGGAGCACATTTACTCAATTGCTGACTTGAGTTAAAATACATAGAACCTATGAGCATTAAATGAGGAAAAAAAGTTATGATCTAACATTGAATTAGGGAGGCTCAGTACAGATTTGACAGCTAGAAGTGAACTCAGTAGGAGCAGACATAATGCCTGGGCAACATCACCTATCTAGGTGACAAGAGTGAATGAAGAGGACATGGTCTGCAGAGGATTGGGAAAATAATAATGAAGAAAGACAAGGGTGAATGGTAATATCAATTTGACCAAAGCAAAAAGAAATAAAATCACCAACATTGTTTTTAAAAAAAACTCCATGATTTCTTATGATTAATAACATTCCTTTTAAGTCAATCAAAGGCACATGTTGAAATGCATCCGTGCCCTAGTAATGTATTCACTGTGCTGTTGGGGAAAAATAACATATATGTTCACATGTATTCTAGGCAGCTTAAAGCACTTCACAGAAGGAGGAATTCATTTGAAACAAAAACATGTTATCATGTGTGCATTTACTTTGATCTGCCCCACAGATCCATTAGACATTTTTCTTAGTTTGATCACTGTAATAAAATAAACTTAAGCAGTGTGTCAGAATTTTAAATATGTAAAATCTTTGTTTATACTATAATAGCTATTTTTGGTCACATTTAGGTAAGGTTTAACCATTGTTATTTGGGCTGATTTGATAGATTACTTCCCACTTATAAGGTTCGTTAGAGATTTCACTGTGTGCTTCTCAGTCTGATCATTGTGGCAATCCTCCAGGTTGCAGCTCTTCATATTGTGCTTAGGGAAGGAGTGATGAGGTCCAACCAAAAGTTTATCAGTAACCACTTTAGAAGGCTGTAAGGTGCAAACCACAAGCTGAAAGTTTATTCTCTGCTGGCACTGTGGAGGACCTATTTTAGAAAAATGAACACTGAAAGTAGACAGAGATAGTAGGAACTGCAGATGCTGGAGAATCTGAGATAACAAGGTGTAGAGCTGGATGAACACAGCAGGCCAAGCAGCATCAGAGGAGCAGGAAGGCTTCAGAAATGAAGAAGGGTCTAGGCCCGAAACGTCAGCCTTTCTGCTCCTCTGTTGCTGCTTGGCCTGCTGTGTTCATCCAGCTCTACACCTTGTTATCACTGAAAGTAGACAGCTGCTTTGCCCAGTCAATGAAGGCGCACACCTGAAACTAAGAATGAAGTTGGGAGCCATGGGATGCCATTTCACAATACTCATTGAAGAAGATTTTATGCTGGGGAAGGGAGAAATGGATTAGACCAAATTGATAGCAAAATTAATGGACTCAGGGATTGGGGGAACCAGTTTAAGATGGGAACAGCTTGGGCTTTCTTTATCCGAGATGTTAAGTGAGAACTTTGAGAAAAGTTTCAGTTGGCCTGAGGTGTCAGTGAAGTCCATTCTCTGACCTTAATAAGGAACATTCCACATTGATTGGTCCTTATTTTCTTTGCTAACTAACTGGCTGAGAAGGTGTTGTAGTCAGAAGGGCTGGGGTGGGGAGGAATAAAGATGGTATGTTTACCCATTGGCTCACATGCAAACAGTTCAAATACACTGAAAGCTGAAGCTTGTTTCAAAACAATAGCTTAATGTGTCCAGCAAGCAGAGAGAAATATGTGCATTTGATGATGACTTTCTGTTTCTTAGCAATAGGTAGTTGTGTTTTTTTTCCAGGAAGTGGTGTGGTTAAAGCCATGGGACTGTGCTTAGTTAGCAGGTTTCAATGAGGACAGTTTTTGGGTTGCTGAAGCTGGGTTCTGCAGCCCTGGACTGGGGAGAGGGAAAATATCAGCAAAGATTCTGGCTTGTAATCACCACTCCAAAGCCCCCCAACCGCCTACAACAGGACAGTGCACGTGTTTTAGCATTAGTGAACTCAGGATTTGGTGATATTACAGTGAAATAGATGGCAACTAACTGAAGCCCACTTATAGGCATCAGCTCGGATACCAGAAGTTGTAGAGAACTCACACCCAGCAAGAACAGATACCTTTAAGGAAAATGAATACGTTTTGGAAGTTAAGAATCAACTCTGGTTGGCTGAATGGACTTCATTGAGCTTATTTTCTCTTAATCATAACTTTCAATCTGCAACAGGGATTTACACAATCTACTCAGCAATTTATTTACTTAGTTTGTCAAAACAAAAGTTGAAATTAGAATGCTTTGAAGACTCAATTGTAAACTTAACAACTTTTGCTGTTTTAGCCATTTAACAAACAGTCACCTAGTGTATAGTGTAATGTTGCAGTGTGTAGTGTGTGATGTTTGACAGCTATGCTGGTTATAATGCAACAGAACTGCAGACATGCCCTAGGGTGTGAAGGAAAAAAAGTGTTCTAAGAGGGAGTGCTGGAAGGAGTGTTGAGATCAGCAGTTTGACCAATCTATTTGGTTGACCAGGTGTGATCACAGTGCCTACATACATTCAATTCTGCATCAGCAATTTATACTTTTTAAGTAAAGAAAATGAAACTATTTAAAGTAATTAAAAATAAACCAAAAATTGAAATAAGTTTTGAGGGTGATGATTCTGTTTTAAGTGTTAAGTTGTTTGCCTTGGTTGACGGGTCAATCATGAGAAGGCATAGTTTTAGAGTAAGGGCCACAGGATTCAGAGGAGATTTCGGGAAACAAAACTCTTTCACTCAGCAGCTGATGGGAATCTGGAATGCACTGCCTGGGAATGTAGTGGAGGCAGGAAACCATACAACTTTTAAGAAATATTTGGATGACTACTTCAAATATTATAACATTCAAGGATATGGGACAAGTGGAGGAAATTGAGATTAGTGCACTTTTAACGGTAGTTCTGTCGGCATAGACTTGATGGAGCAATGGGCCTTTTCTGCACTGTATGAATCTATGAATCTATAAGTGCACAATATGCATCGTGAGGTTTTAATAAACAGAGTTTAATTAGCATTTAGAATAGTTACAGACCATTCGGCCCCACTGTTTCTGTGCTGACTCATTTCACTCCCACCAAACAATCTATAACTAGGGCCTGATTGCAAAACAATAGGCTCTTTCACTGATACTTTGTGGCAGTCTTCATGCAAAGACTTCAATTTGTTAATTTTCTGCATTTGCCTATTCTGCTTGTCAGGACAAGTTTGGAAAAAAAAGGGAAGGCAACAGTTGATTGTGTTTTAGCAAATAAGTGTTCTGTGCATTTCTTTTTGGTGCTGCACCAGAGTTATCAAGGGAAGTGTTTAAAATGTAAAATCATTTCCTGATATTTAACTGCAAAAAGTTTATTGTTTTCGACTGAATGCTGTAAATTTTCTTAAAGTCTGAAGCTCATCTGCCTGAAAATTGGCACTGCAATTCCCTGCAGTGTGATGTCTTGAAGGTGTTAGCTTCCATATAAAACTTGATTGACAGCTGTTGAAGTTACTAAAGAATCTGAAGACTCAAATTATGTAATGAAATTGCCAATGAAAATGAGTTAGATAGCACTCACAAAGACTTGAAAACATTCCTTTTCTCCTATTCATTTATCATATCGCTTTCCACACAGCATGAAAGAAACTGATAGACAAAAATAAGAAACACCTCCGGTTTAGAGAGTAAACATTTTTGTTTTGATTGCAAATAGTAAGGGATTTTTTTTTTGAAGCTCCTTGTTCATATGTATAATACATAGATATATTATTGAAAACATACTGTCACAAACAAAATTCAGCAAACTGTGCTTGCTTTGTTGTGGCATGTATGTAAATATGTAACACTTTAGTTGACAAAGAGATTACATACTGTTCAGTTCCAAGTCCCAAGTATAGTGTGTTAGCTCATCTTAACCAGGATAGCACTGGGGCTGCTGGAATTAGCCTGAGAGATCTGGTGTTGGGGAGGGAAAAAGGAAGATTTCGTGCTTTTACTTCTCATTCTATTTGAACATACGAATTATGAGCAGGAATAGGCCACTGATTATACCTGTCTAACTATTAGGATCATAGCTGATCGGGCAATTCCACATTCCTGCCTGCCCCGATAGCCTTTCACCCTCTTGCTTGTCCAGCTGAAGTGAAAAGTGCTGGAAAGTGCTCTGCGCTAGTGTGTGAGTTTGTTTCTGTATCTGTGCGTGCTGGCTGAGAGCAGGATTGTGTTTAGCCTTCAATGGTTAGACAGGCTGCACAACCCTCTCAGCCTAGACCTGCACATGAAGGCTAGCTTCTTTCTAGGGAGACAAAATTGCTGCTGGTCACCTGGTGTTGTTCCTCGGCACAAGGCAGCGCTTAAAAGAGAGGAAATCGTAGGTTTTGGGAGGAGTGGAGCAGAAAAGAGAGAAAATATGATAAAATATCTCCTTTCTTCATCTGTAGATTAACCGACCACTGACCATGAAGAAGGAAGGAATCCAGACCCGGAATAGGAAAATGTCCAGTAAATCTAAGAAGAGCAAAAAGACCAACGACGGTCTGGATGAGTTTTCAAAGAGCCTCATGGACAAGGCCAGTTCTTTCAGCCCCGCAGCCCTCACAAGACATGTGTCGCCGATCCATCATATTCCACCCTTCAGCCACTCGGGTCACATGCTGACGACACCGACACCGATGCATCCACCTTCCAGCCTGTCCTTTGGACCTCACCATCCCTCTAGTATGGTCACTGCGATGGGCTAGAGGTCTCCCATTCAAAGCTTGGGGACTAGGGCTGCAGAGCAAGCATGCTTTGCACTAACATTTTCCAAATGAAACAAAAAAACAAAACGAGCACCGTCCACCCAATTTCAGATGTCAGGAAGCCTCTGAGACTGGACGACCGCACACAATACTTCTGTTAGTCAGCTTCGTTCAGATAAGGGGTTTCCCAAACATCACCTGTAAGGAGCGCATTATGCTGTGTATGTATTGCTCCACCACTGACTCCTCAACCACCATTTGTGAATACGTCATTGTAGACTCATCACCTGTTTATTTGTAAGACAGGATCTTGTGCTGTGAAATATAATTTTAAACAAGCTACCACCCAACTTCCCTCCCTTTATCCTCCATCTCCAATCTTGCAAATACCTGTAAAATATACAATGATGAATGGGTCAACTGTGAGACTGCGTGGGGGTTCTGTTTGTACCCTGATCAGCCCTGGATGGTTGAGGACCCTCGAACCAAGAGGGAGATGAATAGAGTTTGAAGAGGAGACAGCAAACTGACAGAAGAGAGCCAGGCTACTCCTCTCTGCTCGTAAAACTGCCGAAAACAAACTCCCAGATCTACTGCCTCACACCAGCGGAAGTTGTTTGATGCATTACCTTGTAGACAGACCATTTATCTGGCTTTAGCCTCCACATAGGAAGTACTATCAGTTGCAGGCAATCAGTGTTATACACGGATATTGCCAATGAGGACTGTGGACAGCTATTGTCCTTGACTGAAATGCATTGTGAACAAGTTCCTGTAACTGTTGTTTGTATGTAAGTAATTCAGACTACCAGAAGATGATGTAGAAGAATTATTTCATTACACGCTATACAGACTGAATGGTTGTATACATTTAACAGAATTATTATTGCTAGTGGAAAAAAAAAGACTGCTACAGTTTTGTTCGATAATTTTCTTTCTTTAAAAAAAATAAACTAGATTTAATTTTGTTGATCTAATGCGGTTCTGCTTGAGAGGGTTTTTTAATTTTGTTTTGGGTTGCTAATGTTTGGATGGTTTCCTGGCACCACAGCGTCTGTTTTTGCTTGTCCCTCTCACCACAATATTTCTGCTTTTGTGGGTGTACAGGAAATATAAAAATTGCATGTTAGCACTATTGGCTTCATAGCCTGAGGCCTAGTGACAAAATACTGTGGTTCTGGTAATGTGTACCTCCTGTGATCTTCAGGTCTTGCTCTAAGGGTTTCTGTAGCTTTGAGAGTCAAGTACTGTAACTGTTGTCTCCTTAACTTCACATAAAACATTAAAATAATTATAAAAAAAAAACTTCAGCTCCATGTGCAACTTTTAACTGCTACAGACTTTTTTTTTCAAAAGAGATGTGAATAAAACATTTACAGCTTCTAAAGTCTATTTACAAGCCCTTTCTTAAAAGGTTAAAAAAAAGTCTCTTTTGCTTTCAACTTGTCCAATCTTTTCTACCTCAACCACATGAAGTTAATAAAGGACTAAATAACTGTAAAAACTCATTAAATTCAGCACATCTGGGAGTTAACAAGCAAGTTATGGTCAGTCCTGTTAACAGTGCAGTGCCAGTAAACCACCCAAAAACACTGATGGTGCTGTGCACCCTTATCCATGGTGCAAAGCGTACATATTATGTAATAACCACTTGTGCATCTTTTTAGTGGCTGATTTTAAACATATCATCCATTAAACATTTAATTTTCCTTTATTTTTTGTTGTAAAATAATTCCTGTCTTGTTCTTATAGTTTTCAAGGTACTGACAAAGCCAAAAAGGATGTGCAATATGACATAGAAAACTGGCGGCGTAGACAAATGTGACAGGTTCTAAGTTATTTGTACATTATGCAGTACCTTTCAGATGTGGAGCTTTAAGGATACAGTATTTCTCTTTTTTTTCTAGTAAAGTAAGTTATTGGTGAATAGATATTACCTGACCTGTTCCTATCTCTTGTAAAGAATGGAATACTATGCTACTTGTATTAATAAATGAACAAAGTGTATCAGTTTGAATCTAGTGTCTTATGTGGTGACCTGGCCTTTCAAGTTCAAAGCTCTGCAGTTTGAGCTGGATAAAATCTGTGAATTATCCATGAAGAGTGGGTAGGTCATACATTTGAGTTTGAGTTACGTGCCATTGTTTCAGTCGAGGGACAGAAAGCTGGCTTGTCATATGTGAACAGGTATATATTTGCAAGTGTGTTTGTGTGTTTTAAAATATGCATGTTGCACTCTGTCTCTATACCACTTACAGTATTGATTCTCAAATGTTGCTGTTTGAAGGGGCCCCTGCAAAATTGACGCACTCCTCTGGATTGCATGCAAATGCTGACACACTTCCAGGGACTCCTTGTCGTAGGGCCTGAAAGCTGATGTCAAACCTGTTGAGAGGAAGAACAAGGAAGGATCACTCGACCACGAAATGTTAACTCCAATTTCTTTCCACAGATGCTGCCAGATCTGCTGAGCTTTTCCAGTAACTTCTGTTTTTGTTTCTGATTTACAGCATCCGTAGTTTTTTTGGTTTTTGCTTAGGTCTCGAGATCTTCTTAAGTCAGAAAGTATATGTTGCTCGAAATATTATTTGAAAAGTAGAAGTGCTACAACATCACACTAGTAAAAGCTCCTTCGAGGCAGGGTGTCCTAATTGTTCGCTGGATTAGGCAAACTCAATACTGAATACAGCATCGTGTTAATCAAAGATGCTCAGGCTTTACACATCTAGGAAGGTTTCACATCTCTTAATGAATTCAATTTTCAGAAACAACTTGAAGTAATGACTGGAATGGGCATGTTGAAGAACAATCAAGACTGCTTGTTAAATTTATCACTCCACTTAGGTGTTATTGTTTCAACAGACTACAGTTTGGGACCATCTCAGCCCCAGAAATCTTCCAATGTATTATGTCCTCTATGTTATCATGCTTAGAAGGGGTCATTTTCAAATGGATGAGATATTTATACATGAGGAGATGGTCAAGGAGCATGACCTGAAGGTTCATACAGTTTTAAAACACCAAAGGCCGAAGGATTTACTGTCAATGAAAAGTGTAAGTCATCCAAAGAATCTGATTGCTCCTTGTGTTGACAAAGATGGATTAAGGCCAGATCCATAGAAAATGAAGGTTGTTAAGGATAATCCCACTCTAAAATTGGTTCACCACCAGCAAAAAATTCTAAGCACGGTAAACTAGCTGGCACTTTTCTTTCCTCATTTGGCACTGAATTACTAGGCAACTACTCAACAAGATGCAAGGGACTGGGGGTCTCATCAGGAATTTGCTTTGCAAAAGTTCAAGTACATATTAATGTCCGTAGGTGTCCTGGCCCACTACAATCCATCCTTTCCAGTTAGCATAGCTGCAATTGCTTCAGCTACACACTCAGAGCAGCAGTGTTCTGTCTGGCTGAGTTCCAGAAACAGGTCTATTATGCCTGCAGAGCATTGTCAAATACAGAAACACATTACAGAAACAGAAGTTGCTGGAAAAGCAGGGTTGGCAGCATTTGAGAAGAAAAAGTCAGTGTTAACGTTTTGGGTCCGGTGACCCTTCCTCAGAACTGACTGGGGAACAGAAACACATTACGTAGTTATAGAGAAGGAAGTTGTCTTTGTCATATGGGCGTGTTCTTTTCAGACCACATCCTTGGTTTGAAAGCGTGCAGACAGACAGACCGACCATAACAGATTGGTTTCTAAATTAGATGAGAAAGAATTGGCAAAGGTGCCTCCATGGTTAAAGAGATTCTGACTACTTCGTATAAGGTTTGCCTATAACATGGAAGGGGGGTGTTACTCATGACAGTGAATGTGATGTCCAGAGTGACAATCAACAGCCTTACAATGAATTATAAGGAATTTACTGATGAGGATGAATTGTATACCCAGACTACAGGGATACGGCAGCCAGCAAATCAAAACAGGCTCAATCAAATATGACAGGAAAAAAAGGACTGAGAATGTGTTGATTTGTTGGTATTGAGCCATAGGATGGCCAGACCAGAGACCCATGAAGCATTGACAGCATAATCCCAATTGTAGACAACCTACTAGTGTTTGCTGAAATACTGGTCATTGCAGCATTGCTGTGGCAAGATATGTTAGACAAGTACAGTATGGGCATTTGGGATTTGCCAAGTGTACAGCAAGATCCGCTCATCAAAGTGGTGACCGAGATGCTCCTCCAATATTGCAGACAGCAATGGGAAACGACATGGAATGATACAATTGTCCGTGAGACAGTGGGCCAACATCAGTTGTATATTAGAGTTGCACAGAGGAACTGCAGGAACTTTGTCTCATTGCAAGCCACCTTAATGACCCTTAACTAGTACTGCAGGAAGGCAATAGCCTAATGCTATTATCGTTGGACTAGCAATCCAGAGACCCAGGGACCTAGATTTTAATTCCACTAAGGAATTTGAAGTCTGGTATTGAAGGTGTAATGATGGCCATGAAACTCTTATCAATTTTCAGGAAAAACCTGTTTAATTCACTTATGTCATTCAGGCAAGGAAACTGCTGTCCTTACCCAGTTTGGCCTACATGTGACTCCAGACCTACAGTAATGTGGTTAACTCTCAACTGCATGGATAATAAAAGCTGGGCTAACAAGTGTGCCCACACGTTGTGAATGAATTAAAAATAAAATACTGGTAGTGATCGCAAATACCACAAGGCACTGGAGTAGTCATCTGGGAAAATAACCATAATTTGTAGCACGTTAATGCTAGTAACATATGTTCAGTTGAGCACTTTAACCGGCACATTAAAGTCTGAACGTACTTAATTAATATTCAATTACACAAATATCTACCTCTCCCATGTTTTCCTGTGGAAAAATAATTTATTGTTGCTGTTTAAATCCCTATTCTGTGGTCCTTGCTCCAGGGCCTTGACTGTGAAGTCTTTGCAACGAACTAGCTGGCCAATACTGTCCAGGCGGATATCCAGAAGATTCAATGGAGTGAGATACTAGAGAACTAACACTGGCTGTGGACCCATTCCCCAGCAAGAACTGCATTTCTGTGATGGAAATGGGAGAAATCTGAAAGATGAAAAAGAAAAGAACTTTACATTATTAAACATGAAAAATAATCATAATACTGTGATCACAAGCTTGATATTAATGAGACACAATTTTTGGTTTCCGTTGGTTGGAGAATCCAGAACATGGGGACACAGTCTCAAAATTAGAGGCAGATTATTGAAAATTTTTTTCACCCTGAGAGTAGTGTGTCCGTAGAATTCTTTAACACAGAAAGTAGTTGAAGCCAAAGCATTGAATGTTTTCAAAAACAAGTTAGAAATAAAAAGGATCAAACGGTATGGGGAGAAAATGGGAATAGTACTGAGTTTGATGATCAACCATGATCATATTGAATGGTTGGGTATGAGGTGCTGAATGGCCTACTCCTGGTTTTATTTTCAATGTTTCTGTGTTTCGATGACTGAGATGAGGAATAACTACTTCACTCAAAAGGTTGTGGACTTTTAGAATTCTTCACCTCAGTGACTGCTGCATCATGGAATAGGCCTGGGATAGACAAAATTCTAGTCCCTCGGGGTACTCATTGGGGTTGGGTGGGAAAGTAGGATTGAAGCCCAAGTTCATGCCAAATGGAAGAGCAGAACTGACACAATACCTGGTCTACTCCTGCACCTTTTGGTGTGTTCTTGTGTTAATTTATCCATCCAGAAACATTTTACATTGCCACCAGTGGTAAGAATATCTTGAATTTTATTAATTGTGATGAATTTCTTTATTAATGTAAAGTTGATCAAAAGGGATTTTCATGTTGAAACATTTAAGGATTAACTTTTGGTAGTTTGGGATATACACTGGCAAGTTGGTTGTTGTAGATAATGAGAAGTGGATTGATATTCACAAAATGACACGTATTAAAGTCACGCAGTAATACCATTCATACAGCGGTGTTATGACTTGTGTAGTAAAAAATTAACAACGTCACAAAAGATATGGTTGCATGGCTTGTATATTAGTGGCACCCAGCTCTGTTATCAAAATGCTCATTTTTCTTTCTAAACAAGGGCACTGCAGTGCTGGGTTACATATCCAAATTTGTTATGTTTGTCCTGTTGGTCTGATGTTGCTCTTGCGATTGTGAGTGATGGGAATTATTTTCAGTGTTGTCAGAGAAAGCTCCACTTTAGATAACACAAGAACCAGCTCTTCAGTAATGCAGTATGTGTCATAGACACCAGTTAGAGGTACATATTGCCATTTTTGGACTAAAATACAGTCTGGCATGTGGAAACTCTTTCCAGAGCCAAAACTCTGATTTTCACTTCAAGCCCTATTCTGTGATAGCTAAGTAAAACATTCTCTTTTTAACCCATGGTGAATTTTTAGGAATAGGAAGGGGCCTTTTGACCCAAGAAGTTTTACTCATATATTGAACCTGAGATTGATCCTACTTACCTAATCTTTTCTCAATTTTCATTAATGATTCTTTCTCAAATAACATGTCTAATTGTCCCTTAATTCCACCCAGGTCAGTGAGAATTTTGTGAGCTTTTACTGTTCCTTCTTGTAAGCAAATAAATTGGAATGCAAATTTTGAATTCAAATGAGTGGAACCAGTACAGAAAGATACCTTCCATCTTCAGAACAGTCTCTATTCTGCCACAGAATGAGGCTGTTTGATCTGTTCAAAGGTGTAGAGTTATTCTTTTGGTCACTATCACTGGGAATGTCTGCTGCACTGTACAATACGTTTTTACCTTCCATTAACCTTCTCCCTCTGTACAGCAGGTAGATTGCTCTGGGGTTGTTTTGTTTTATTTTCATTCATGGGGTGAGGGCTAGGTCAGCAGTTTTTGCCCAGAGGACACTCATTACACATCCACATTGCTGTGGGTCTGGAGTCACATGTAGGCCAGACCAAGTAAGAATGACAGATTTCCTTCTTTAAAGGACTTAGTGAACCAGATGTGTTTTTCCTGACAATTGGCAATGGATTCATGATCATTATTACACTC